TCTTGTGTGTTTCTTAGGTCAGACAAAAACAAAAACATATAAATGCTGGTTTTATTAATAGTTGAGTCTGTGAGGTGAAAGCTTTTCAGACAGCTTTGGATGCATTTACTTCAGCTACATTGCTGTTCTGAGATTCCACTTCATCACCCCAAGGGTATGTTTGAGAACTTAGACATAACATCCACAGTCTGACCCCATGTAGGGCCTAAAGGCAAATGATATGTTACAGCCAGTAAGCACCCTCAGTGGTAATGACCTCTCTGGTCTCCCTAGCCACTATCAAACCTCAACCTGAAGCAATTTCCATGGCTGCCAGGCCCCAGGCTCATCATTAACTGATGCTTTGGCTCTCCCTGTACTCTTTGCCCTACTCCTGCAAAGTTTTACCTTCCAAGACAGCACACAGTTTTGTTACAGTTAATATGTGAGACTATTATTCTCACCTTAGTTGGAACAGTTGATTTTCTATTTTATTAAAATGTTCTCAGACTTTCTCAAATTACATTTTTAGTTTTATAGTTGTTCTAGTTTTACTTGACAATTATATTATTTTTGTATTTTATGAAAACAATTTTTCTTTTTACAACTTTATGTTATTGTTCAATTTTTCTGTTTTCTTTTGCTATAGTTCTATTCAATAGACAAAAGTTCTATATTGTGAAGCAGATAGAGTGTTGGGCCTAAAGTCAGGAAGTTGTTGTTCAGTCATTTTTCAGTTATATCTGACTCTTTGTGACCCCATTGGGGGTTTTCGCAGCAGAAATGTTGGAGTGGTTTGCTGTTTCCTTCTCCAGCTCATTTTATAGGTAAGAAAACTAAGGCAAATGGGGCTAAATGACTTGCCCAAGGTAACACAGCTATAAAGTGTCTGAGGCCAGATTTGCACTCAGGAAGATGATTCCTGATTTTAGGCTGGACACTCTATTCATTGTGCCACCTAGCTGCTTGAAATCAGGAAGACTTGGGTTCAAATTTGGTCTCAGACACTTACTAGTTTTGTGTCTTTGGGCAAGTCACTTAACCTGTGTTTGCCTCAGTTTCCTCAACTGTAAAGTGGGGACAACCACTATCACTATTGTTGTGAGGATCAAATGAGATAATTACAAAGTACTTAGAACATAGTAAGAACTATATAAATGTTAGATATTGTTATTATGATTGTGATAATTATTATTAATACAGTTTTTCTTTGAAACTTTATAAATGTGTATCATCCACTAAATCTAAAATTAGACACATAGTAGTGGCTTATTTTTCTATTTTAAACTTAAAGTATGCATTTAAATGTCAAAACAAAAAAATAACAGATCAACAAACTTGTTCATGCATTTAAAACTTTGTAATATGTTTTTCAGGTATAATACTATAGTATTTAGCTACCTGTATATTTATAATACATACATACACATACAGAACTCAACCTATGATTTCATTGTTATAAATCTCCCAAAGAAGTAAACTCTCACTATCAATGCAGAGTGGCAACTTCTAGCCTTAGAGAGTTCCTTAGACCAGTTGTGTCAAGTTCACATAGAAGCAGAGGCCACTAAGCTGTATGTAAGGATCCCCTTGACTGCATATTGACTTAAAAAAAAAACATTTGGGGCAGGAAGATGGCATAGTGGATAGAGCACTGGCCCTGGAGTCAGGAGGACCTGAGTTCAAATCTGAGCTCAGACACTTGACACTTACTAGCTGTGTGACCCTGGGCAAGTCACTTAATCCCAATTGCTTTACCAAAAAGCAAAAAACAAACAAACAAAAATCAGCATTATCTATATTCTGCTGTATATAAAAAAAATTTCCTAGTTGCATTTTATCCTTGTTTCCACTACACTTTTGTATTTGGCACCTCTAGCTTAGAGCACTTAGAAGTTAAATGATTTGCCCAGGGTCACAGAACCAGTATGTCAGAGGCAGGATTTGAATTTGGGTCTTTCTGGCTTCAAGGCTGATATTCTATCTCCTTCTATCTTTCTATATATTACAAATTACCAGGAAATGTCTTCAAAGTTCTGGTGCCTAAGAATCCTAGAGATTGTTACTCTGCCACTGAGGACATAGAACCTCCATAAAAATATAACTGCAAAAGGCAACACATGTGTTGTGATACATATTTGTATATGTGATACAGTAAATAAATATTACAAGAATTCAGAAAATCAGACAATGGACTTTTTTGGAATGGATGGGGTATCAGAGGGCATCTAATCCAACCCCTATCAAAACTAATTAGTATTTTTAAAGCATTCATACATTTTTTTTGAAACAATAGACATGACAGTAAATATATACATCTACCTTGATATTTTCATTTTACTCACACATAAATTATATTTCCCGAAAATAATTTATTGGCAATTAATAGAAAGGAAAAGTCTGTTCTTTAACTTTGATAGAATGCTATCAAAAATAACATTGTTTTGTTCCCTCTTCATTGTACTGTGTTGTGGTTGCTGTACATCATTCTTTAGATTCTGCTTTCTTTATACAAGTCTTCTGGTGTTTCTCTAAGATCTTCATATTTATTATTCTTTATAATGCCATAATAATACTTGATTGTATTAATATACCTTGATGTGTTCAATTATTAGGAACAAAATTTGTCTTCAAATTTTTGTTATCACAAATAATGCTGCTATGAATTATTTTGGGTCTGCTTAAAAATTTCCCCAATCCATAATTGTGAAGAAAGTAACTTTCTACTTGCTTCTATTTTTTTGGTATAACTATTCTTATGCTTTTTTACATTTAGATTGTTTATCCATGAAATCATCAGTTCTCCCTTCAACATCCCTGACAAGTGACTATCCAACCTCTATTTAAAAATACCTCCAAAGAATGGAAACTCATTATCTCCAAGATATATCTGATTCAATTTTTGGATAACTCTAATTGTTAGGAAGTTTTTTGTTAGGTTGACACCAAATCCTTCTCCTTGTAACTTCCATTCTTCCATCAAGTGGTGGTCTTAGTTCTGTGCTCCAGGACTAAACACAATATGTTAAATCTCTCCATATGAAAGTACTTTAAACATTTGGAGACAACTGTCATGTCTTCTCTCCCTCAAACTCCAGCTTTTTTTTCCTTCCAGGATAATAACTTCAGCTTCCTTCAACCAATCATTATAATGAAATAGTTTGCAGTTACCCCACTACTATAGCTACACTTCTCTATACTGACAAGCTTTATTCTTGCTTGTCGATGAGCTCCATGAACTGAAAGCAATATTTGAAATATAGTTTGACCAGGACTGAGAACAGAAGGACTGTCCAAGGAGCAGAGGAATTATAGCTGGAAGGGATTTTAAAAATCATCTAGTCTTACTTCTTCATTTTACAAAGAAAAACCAAGCCCCAGACAGATTAAATGACTTGTCTGTTGTCATACAATAATGAATGAGAAGCAGACTTGGAGTCCAGCAATCCAGGATGCATGGGTCCAAATCTAGTGCTCTTTCCATTATACCATACTGTCCTTGCTCTAAAAAACTTATTTTAATAATAAGGCTTGAAACTACTTGAATTCTGTTGTCTTCTGTGTTGCTTTGTACTTTTATCTTGGATATGCTGTCTGCTAGAACTGCTAGGTCTATTTTTTTCTTTCATATCCAGGGAGTAATCACTGAGGGCTGGTGTACCTGCAGAAGACTTTAGGAAGGAGGTAAGACTTCAAGTGAACCCTAAACGAATGTACTTAGAATTCAAAAAGGGAGGAAGCAAACATTAATGTCATTTAGATACACTGCTGAATTCAGAGTAGCTTTTTGTCTCCATGCATTTTCTCCATCAATGAATATTAATATCACAAGACCTATCATATAGCCTGCAAAAATCTTTGACGTTAGAACTTTCTGATTTAAAAGCGTGGGAACCGTTATTCTGGAATCAAGCAAACATTTAGTAAGTACCTACTCTGAATTCAATAATATCTTCAAATAAATTTGTGTTATATTAATCATGATAACATATACATACACTTGAAAAATACCTATATGTGAGATACATTATTTATTAAGTGTATAAAAAGCTTGTTTTTTACAATATTATTGCTCTTGTTATTGTTCTGAGATGTAATTAATGTGACCAGGAATTAAAATATGGGAAAGAATATTCTTATATAATAAATTAATTTGGTCATATTATATTTTATACCTTTAACCTATCTTATCTAAGCAAAATTTCTATTCCAAAGTTCCCATTCATGGTATTAAATATAGTTGTTCACTTTGAATAGCATATATAGGTGTGTAATAGGAATAGTGATGAAGAGCATTTGGGGAATGACAGTGAATCTCAAGCATCTAAAAAAGAAATCCCCCTTAAATCTTCCTTCTTTGATCTATCATGTGGCTTTGTTGTTTAGTCAGTATTAGTTAGTTTTGACTCTTTGTGACCCCATTTGGGGTTTTCTTAGCAAAGATACTGGAGTGGGTTTGCCATTTCCTTCTCCAGCTCATTCTACAGATGAAGAAATGGAGGCAAAAAGGGTTAAGAGACTTGCCCAGGGTCACACAGCTGCCTGAGGCCAGATTTGAACTCAGGAAAATGAGTTTTCCTGACTCTGGGCCCAGAACTCTGTCCATTGTGCCACATAACTGCCCTCCATCAGGTAGTAGCAGCAGAAAATAATTCTGGATAAGTGGTATTAGGAATTCAGCCTGAGAAAACTTGTGTTTTGGGTTGACCCGGAAACATTTCATTACCCAGTATAAGAGGCAGCTAAGCCTAGATAAGTGCAGGAACAGCAGAGACAAAGATTATTTAGGGGGTCTGGGTGACATAGTATTAGCCACTTATTCCATTCTGCCATCTCTAGGCAGGTAGGTTTCCAGAGCTTTTGGACCTTACTCAGAGGCTTTCGTCCCACCCTGACTCAAGGCACAAATTGATGAAAGAACCCTGAGATAGTTAGCCGCCTGTGGAGCCTGTATCTCATACTACATCTCATCATGCTGTGGTCCCCACCCCAGTTAGGAAAATATTGTACAGGTGCAGCCCTCATCTCTCACACTGTGCACTCTGCTCGATACAGTAATACACAGCATTGTCTCTCAAAGTCACTGGAGGAAGGCTCAGGGTGCTAGACTTTCTGTCTGCAGAGATGGTCAAAGAGATCATTTGGTTGGTCACGTTGGTTTTATAAGTTTGAATGAGGAATTGTGGCCCCTGATTGGGGAACTGTCGGTACCAGAATACATTCATATTAGTGGCAATGTCCTCATGACTACAGGGCAAATTCACTTCTTGACCTTCTGTTACTTCTTGTAAGATGGGCTGGGTGACCTTAGAGTCACATCTAGTACCTGAAAGGGAAAAGAGAAGACAATGGGTTAGCTCCCAATACTGGGGGAAAATAAAGGATCGGAAGGTAAAAGGCACTGGACCTCACCTTGCTCCTCTGCATTTCTGGTGTTTCTCCATCATTGTCACAGAGGGGCAGAGGAATCCCAATAGCTTTTATCAGAAGGAGAATTTAAAGCACCCCTATGCATAAGCAGGGGCTCTAATGTATATGGGTATTAGGTTGAATGAATTTAAACTGTCAATAAATCAATAAGCATTAACTAAAAGATTATGTGTTAAGGTTTTTTTTTGGGGGGGGAGAGGACACAAGGAAAGGAAAAAACAAAACAATCAGTGCTCCCCTCCTTGCTCCCAAAGGATTCAAAAGTCTTTTGTGGAATTAGTGTGAATAACAATAATTACCATTATTGTTGCTATTATTTTATAACTGACATTTATTTAGTGTTTTAAGATTTGCAATGCATCTTATATATGCAATAGCTCACATGAAACTCAGAACAACCCTGTAATAACAGGTACTTATATGAGGAATATTATATTACAATTAGCAAGGCAGGATTAGAACCCAACTGTCTGACTACAAACGCCAAACTCCAGCTACTATCCTGCAGTGCCACCTAACCTAGCCCTACCCAGAGGCAGGGAATACCAAGAGAAAAGGGCAGAGAAGATCTCAACTCCTTTCCCTCAGTCTTCTTGTTTAAACAGTAATGGGATGGGCAAGGGGGAGGTGGCTTGGATTCCCACTTTGCCATGTGGTCCCAACTCCCCGAATCCAAATGGGGCCCCCAGCACACTTACCAAAAGTGAGAAGCACAATCACTCCTATCACCAGCCTCATTTTCCAAGGGGGTGATGGGTGTTAGGGCCCTGATTTCGGTGTCTGCTTCTAAACTTGGGATGAGGGAGGAAACAGAGGAACAAAAGTAACAGCAAATTGTGCCACATTTCAACTGAAGCCTGGGGGGTGGGGGTGAGAGGTCCTTGGGACTAGATCCAACCAGTAGCATGGCAGCTACTCAGCTGGGCTTCCTGACTAGGTTCAGTGGTATCTCTGGGTAGGGGAGGGGAGACCACAGCAAAGGCAGACGCAGATTCAAAGCAGAGAATCCTGGTTTCCCTTTAGAACACTGCTACTGTTTAACCCCTGAGAGTATATTGCCTAAAGAGGAACCCTCATCCTGCCAGTGATTTCCATACTGGGACCTTCTGGTCTCAGGCATAATTAAAACTGTTCTAGCTCTCCATGGAGTTCTTGAGTCTGGTGAACACAAGGGCAATGATGCCCATTCCCCATCAGGGAGGGAAAAAATGAGTCCAAGTGGAGAATTGACATGCTTTGGTCATAGGAAAATTACTATTGGAGCTTGGACAAGAAGTATAGTTCCTAATGCCCCAGTGCTCTGTGGTAGTTCTTGAGGTTATATTTCTAACACCTTTAATGTCAGAATTATCAGTGCTTGGTATTAGAGGCAGAAAAAAATGACCCTATAGAAACATTCTCTTTCTTTTCATCTGTAAAATAAAGGGGCTGGATTAGATTGATTGTTTCTAAGGTCTTTACTAAATGTAAGTACTAAAATTCTCCCACTGAACAGCCTGCTTTAACCATTAAAAATGATGCTGCATTCTTTATTTGTTTAAAGGAATTAGCATAAACGTTAGTATGAATTGAAAAGGACCTCAGTGACTATCTCATCTAACCCATAACATCATTAGCTATTTCCCCCAAACTACTACAAATTCTACTCTCCACTCCTTTCCTCTCTTTCTCCTCTTGTTTTGGGTCACTGTTCTTGAGATGACAATACGGTTTTACTCAGAGGCAGTTGCAGAACTGTAACCTACACTTTGGCATAGGGCGGTGATACAGGGATTGAGGTAAGATATATTTCCTGCTCTCAGTGTTTTCCCTGATTGAAATCCCCACATCTTTTTGAGCAAATATTTTGATTGAAAGCAATGGGGTCTCTTGGGGAAAGGGGCATTTGTTAATATGGGTCCCAAAGACAAGAGGCCAAACTTAAAGCAAAGAAATTTATTAGCCTGCCAAGGAATACTGCTCTCACTGAGTAGCAACTTCAGTTTCCTAGGTATAGATTTGTTGCTTGTGTGTTTTTTTCCATCCTTTCAAGCTATCTTGGAGTACAAACCAATGGGCAGCATTTTGTGACATCTTAGGATAGATAAATAAAACATTTCATAGGAGAGATAGTATTGGAGAAAAGGGGGGATTGGTGTCATATTATATTGAAATCTTTCTTGGGGAGACACTATCAGTTAACAGGGTACAAAGTCTTATTGTATCCCGAGTGAAGTTATTAGAAACTAAGGATATAATTATGCAATTATATGGCTCCTACATAGATATTTTCTGGGAAATGGAGAGTATTTGGAATGCAACTGGCAGAATTTATTGGAATAAGAAAACATTTCCTAGTTTAGGACAGAAGACAAAGGGAAGTGACCAAATACTTTCATAATTATGAAGAAAGTCATTTTAGACAAAACTGGAGGGTCTCTTATCCAAGAACAATAAGTAGTTACAATAGTGGATAAGACCATCTATTTTATGGCATCTTTGCACAATTTGTAATATTTTATTTCTCCTTTAATAGTAGATAAGGACTTTCAAATAGTAGGCCAACAAATGGCTAGGGATTACTCCATCAAGATATTGCAAATAATTATTGTGCCTATTCTGTACCCCAACTATATGGTGTTAGTGTACCCATACTCTTTCTTGTTATCATGGTTTACCCCTTGTGGAGCCTGTGTCCCCAACAATAGATTTCTTTCTTCCCTTCATAGACAGATAGATAAAACATTTATCAAGGATTTACTTTGTGCTAGGCACTATACTAAGCACTAGGGATACAAATATGTGCTAAGCACACAAATATATATAAATATAGAGCACACACACACATACACACACACACACACATGCACACACACACATACACACACACACACATGCACCCACCACACACACACACACACACACATGCACCAACCCACCCACCCACCCACACACACACACACACACACACACACACATCTTCCCAGGGTCTGGGAGATCAGAGACTATCAGTTGTGCCATGAGTTAGTCCATAGCAGACAGTTCATCCTGGGGCACTTGCATTGTAAAGAGGTACAGACTCTTTAAGGACCGGTTGCATCTTTTTACTGTGCAATTGTACCAGGATGGACTGTGTGTCCTGTCACCCCTCCTTTCACTTCCTACAACTGAATACACCCTCGGTGTATGAATTCTTAGTCACAGTTTTGAGCAGTTGAGAAGGAAAGGTTTGTATCATCCCCCTCACTGTCATCTTCCTGGTTTTACCATTTATAAAAGAAGTAGCAGCCTGTTATGCTATGAGTAAAAGCAATACAAGGTTCTTTTGTGGACAGAAGGTCAATGGCAATCTCTGTCATTGAGTGCAACTCACAGCATATGCCTAGAGGCAAGTACTACTGTATGACATCCACTTCCTCTCTCTGACAACCCCAAGTCCAACTTATTCTCCTTAGTATTAGGGAAAGACTCAGGTTTGCAAGTGCATCAGCCCCATCTAGTGACAAAAATATATAAACCAGAGTGACATCTCTCATCTCCCATAGCCAACAGTCCAAATCTTTGTTTAGCTAAATCATAGGGCAGGCTGTTTTCTTAGACCGGCTGAGAGACAGCCCTGATACTTTGGTTCCTCTGAATAACATAAGAAGAATGAGAGTCTGGTTAGTATCAGGGGATGGGCTACTTCCATCTTATACCTTTTAGTACAGTTTTGTCCAGGTAAACTGAGCATGAGCCCAAAAAACAGAATAATGAGGGACTTTGCTTAATCTCCTTAGCCAAGATACTCAATTTATGCTGAAATGGTCTGGTCGTTTTGAGATTTCAAAATTCCCTTTATACTTCTAATGCAACAACTAAATTCTTTTTATTCTTTGTTCATACTCCTGATCCTCCTATCTCTATGATTCAATCCTAGGGCCCACCGGATTCAATGTCTTTGCTAAAGAATTGATAAAAAAAAAAGAACCTATGCAAATAAAATTTGTAGATTATTCTAAATAACAGTTAGTTACTAACAGTGTAAGACAAATAAATTTTTATTGATATCTTCCATTTCTCACTTAATTATAGTAAATCTCCAACATCCGTCTTCTTCCTTCACCCTGAGAGAGCCATCACATATGACAAATAGTATTTTATTTAAAGAGGAAAAAACTGATCAATACGTTGAAAGAGTCTGCAAATATGTGCAATTTGTAGCACTTGTGGGCTTCCCACATGAAGGGGTATGTTGGGGCTGTCTTCTCATATCTTTGCATTTGAGACTTGCTCAATCTTAATAATTTTGTTACATTTGCTTTTGATTTTTTGGTGTGTGGTTGTTCTTTTCATTTATATTTTTGTAGTTATTATGTATATTATTTTCTTTCTTCATCTTACTTCACTCTGCATCTGTTCCTATAGATCTTTCATTATTCTCTGTATTTATTATATTTATCATTTTATACAGCACAATAATATTCTATTACATTCATGTACCACAATTTACTTAGCCATTCCCCAATTAAGGAGTATCTACTTTGTTTCCAGTTCATTGCTATCAAAGAAAGCACTGCTTTAAATATTTTGGTATATATGGGGACTTTTTTTTATCTTATTGATAGCTTCCTTGGAATATAAGCTTAGCAATGGAATCTCAAAGGGTATGGATATGGAAATCTCAGTCATTTTGTTCACATACTTTCAAATTGCTTTTTAAAATGGTTGTACCATTTCACAGCTCTGCCAAAAATGTATTAGTGTACCAATCATTCCAAAACCCCTCCAACATTGAATATTGCCATTTTTGTCATCTTCCCCAAATTATGAGTAATTAAAAACTGCAGATCTGTTTTGGTTTTCATTTTCTTATTATTAGTCATTTGGAGTACTCTTTTGGAAATAAACTTTTAGTTGACCTTGAAACTAGGGAAAATGCTTCCTCCAAGCCAGATAAAAAAATCAACGAAGAAAAGTATTAGGGACAAACCTATGATGGCACAAACATCCAAACAGTGAATACTGGTCAATAAGTCTTGGGAAAAATTGGAAACTATTGGTAGCAGAAAAATGTCTGATTTAGGGAAAGGAGTAGGGCTCACAGTTTACCAGAAATTGAATTTGAGACAGCAAGGTGGTTCTGTTGTGAAAAAGAGAAAGTTTATGTGATATTTGGAATCATTATCTCTGTAACTTTTGGAGCAAAGCCCTTCCTAGCCATCACCTCTCCTCCGTTTGTTGCTTAGCACATTAGAATGTAAACACCTTGAGAGGAGGGACTGTTTTTGCTTGTGTGTTTGTATCCCCAGTGTTTCCATATTACTAAGCCCACAAATGCTTTTTTCTTCCTACATTTCTTTTCCTTCCTTCCTTCCTTCCTTCCTTCCTTCCTTCCTTCCTTCCTTCCTTCCTTCCTTCCTTCCTTCCTTTCCTTCCTTCCTTCCTTCCTTCCTTCCTTCCGCCTTCTCTTTCTCTCTCTCTCTCTCTTTCTCTCTCTTCCTCCTTCTCACTCTTGTTTTCTTTTATTCATATTGTTGTGAAAAGAGAAAGTTTATAGAAAACTAGGAATCATGAGAACTACATGAGAATGAAGAATCTTTTCATGATATTCCACAATAGTCAGACCTTTTTCATTATGCAATTAAAAAAAAGAATGTTGAACAAAAGACATGGTTCAGAGACGAGAGACTAAAATAATAAGTATAACTTGGGTCATTTAGTCTTGATAAGACATGACTAAGGGGTAACATTGTCTTCAAATGGAGTTTTATGATTATGTATGATGCAAATTAGTGTATGAGAAGTATATAAGTGAAGTACCAAGTGCTAGGAAGTCTCATAAGGGAAAGACTACTTCCAGCTGAACAAAGTTTCATTGAATGGTAAATGAGATAAGGGGAGGCTTGGGAGGAAAGCTAAAAAAAGGTTT